AGCGCAGCGGTGCGCGGCATGGAGGGTGGGGCGTCGAGGAGGCCGGAAAGCGGGGCGTTAGCACCAGGGCGTGCGGTGTTGAGGGCAGGGGCCTGCGGCGTTCTCAACGCCGTGGGGCACGACATAGGGCGGGGCATGCATCGTCGAGGAGGGCGGGAGGCGGGGCTTTGAGCAGCGGGGCATGCGGCGTTGAGGGCGAGCGGGCGGGTGCGGCGTTGAGGGCCGCGGTGCGCAGCATGGAAACCGGGGCGTCGAGGAGGCCGGGAGGCAGAGGTTTGAGCACTGAGGCCTGCTGAGGGCGAGCAGGCGGATGCGGCGTCGAGCGCAGCGGCGCACGGCACGGAGAGTGGGGCGTGCATCGTCAAGGAGGCCGGGGTTGACGCATTGAGCGCCGGGGCGCGTGCTGGGTGCGCGGCGTTGAGCGTGGGGACGTGCGGCGTGCAGTGTCGAGGCCGTGCGCGCGGTCAGCGTCGAGTTGAATGCCAGGGTCTTCGACGTTGAGCGACCCAGCGCGCTGAATGGGCCCGGTGACCCGATCGGGTCGCGCTTCGTTGAGCGCGTTGCATGCGATCACGTGCTATCAAACAGTGTCACGTATGTGGCGCGCGTGAACGCGTCGTAGACGTGTCGACGCGACGCGTTCCGGTCAGCATAAATAACGGAGACGATTCCGTCCAACTCATCCTGTGGCACCCCATCGATGCCCTATACCCAACTTTGCTTTGTGTGTTTTCAAGCAGACGTGCCCGAGGGTGGACGGTGGAGTCCCTGAAAACCCAAGATTGCCTCCGTCTAGCACCCATTTGTACTATCATCCCAACATGGTCTATACCCCCTGACAGTGCACTTAACGTGCAATACACTGAGGATCACAGATGCCAATCTGTCTCCTTGAACTGTCTATAGATGACGAATGATGAGCGATGTCTTAGGTGGTGCGCATGTATGCCTTAGGCTCATCTTCCTGCACCCAAGGTTAACAGTCAGGATAGTCTGCACCCATCCTGCTTCTGAATTTCAACTGAATGCTTGAAATGCTGCCCTACTGTGTTTCGTGCTGTCATTCAAGAATGGCATTGACTTTATGCTGTATGTACACTGATACCTGCAGTATATGCATTGAAATAGCCGGTTCCCGGGGTCCCAGCCAGTGCACAGCCTTCGCTTAGCCAAATGAACTCGGCAAATGAGCTGCTCACTCTTGCTTTCCATAGCTCCGGTCGGCAAATCAAACAAAGTGAAAATCTGATAGCGCCCCGCCTCGGATATGAAGTACAGAACCATCATCCGGGGGCTGAACAATAGCGTTCGTGGATAGCATCCACGAGTATCTGACCTGAACGCGATGTGGATAACCCGCTAATAGGCGTTTGAGAGCCCATAGTGCAGCCAATCATAAACGTGCTGAAGCATCAAGGAACTTCCCCCCCCCCCCCTTCAGTCTCCAACAAGATTGGCCTCAGCGCTGATGCTATATACTGAGCCGCCGTTGGACATCGCTCAGATAGCTTCTATTGCCACTATCTCAAAGGATCTGCCGCGCCACCTTGCGGAGTCCCCCGCGGGATGTGGTGTACCAAGTCGCCTCTCTATTGCCATGATGTCGCCCAATATGACCCTGGAGTGCCCTACATGATTCTGCGGTTGTCACCGGTCATTCTCCAGCAGCCCGATGCGGTGAGCCCCTCCAATACCTAATCTGAACATCATACATGTGCACCATAGACACCATTCCGACGCACGGGACATACCATCCAGATTAGGGCAGGACATGTGTTTGCCGCGACTATGACTATTGTTTGGAGCCCTGCCGGTGGACATATTCCAATAGCAATGCCATCTATTCAATCTATGGAAGTGGTACGATGTGGGGCATTCGGTTCCGTTGAACCCGACTCGGAATACAAGGAGTTCGTTACGACAGAATCATTGACCGTTTTGCGCGGATGGATTGTGCAGAAGTTCCGGCCCAGAAGACATGTCGAAGCTGGAAATGAATGGACATTTATTGTCCCTGGCAGTTTTCCAGGCATGATCCTGCAAAGCCAGGATCGATTCGTCGCCTGCTTCCCAAAATTGGAGCTTAATGACTACTCATGACTCTGTCGTCCGGTCTACTCTTGTGCCGCCCTTTGCTTTCTCGCATCTCCTTATTCGGAACCCTTATCTCATTCTTGTAACACGGTGTCCTCAGCTCACATATGCAGGGCCTTCGTTCTCGCTTCTGGCACCTAAATATGTACCCTTTTCAACATCAATGCAGTGGTGAGCCGTTACGGACGCCTTCTTCGTAATGTACTATTTGGTACCGCTCACCAATCCGATGCTTCAGCGGTGGCTAAATTACGACTGCGCATGACCGCCCACATCCGGGTGTCCCGCCATACTTATGTTATGCTCGATTCGTCCCAAAAACTGCGCTGATATGACAAGGACTGCGATGCCGTCGGCCACACAGCGTTCAGCATGCGGACCAAACATGTTCTCGCCCATAGCCAAGTCTAGGGCACGGACAATAGAGTCGATATGACTTTCCAGCGCTTGACAGCTCGATGCCGTTCCATGCTGACGGTATTCTGCGAAGTTCAACTACACAGGTTATGGTTAGTTCCTAATTGAACATCGGATATCAACTTCACCGAGTTTGGAAGGCCGTCTGAGAAACATCAATTGACGTCTGGATCGTATAAAATACAGGACGCCTACGAACTATTTACTCCCGTAGAATGGAACGAACTTGAGCAGTGACATTTTCTAGGCTGGCGATCGCTCGTTTCTGACAGAGTCTGTCACGGCGACATGAAATGGATACATCAACGTAAGAGCAAGTGTACCGTAACCTGAGTACATGCTAGTTTCGTTACCAACCTGCCTGAAGCCGACGAGCGAGCAATTTGGGTTCAGTTTGCTGGCTCGTCGCCCAAGCAGCGTGTTTACGAGAAAGTAGATGCATCGTATTCCATGACTTGTCTTCCATCACTGCTGCCGATTTTGGCCGGTGAGATAAGATAAGATTTGAGATAACCTCGTGGCGGTCGTGCGTGACCGTGAATTGCGCTTGCGCTTTGACTTTCGAATACACGGCCGTTTCGTCCAAGCGCCATCACAATCACTTTTAGACCCCTCTTCTCTGCTTGACCTTTTCCCGAGGCCCCGTATGCACCAAAGAAGCTCACCGGAACCCGACGCGTCGGATGAGGACGATCTCCTTGGTATGTGAGCGAGCGGTAGCAAAATGAACAACGGCTAAGCTGCACTTAGACGAGGAAGAAGATGGCACCTCGGAGCCTAGTGAAAGCGGGGAGTCGTCTCAGGATGATGATGCGGAAGGAGAGACGGACGACGAGGTGGACCCTGCTGCCGTGGCAGGAACACAGGGTGAAACGGAAATAGACAATGATTTCGAGTGCGTCCGGGATATATGCGCCGCTCGCCCAGGTTATAACGCTCCAATAGTCGCCTCGTTGCCGATATACGCCAGCTGGATCGGACTTCGAATGCACCTGCCGGTGTCCTCACGAAGACATGGGACATCAACATTGAAGACCAGGATGCGGCATTCAGGGACGACCTACGCCTTGCATCTGGCATAGGCGCTCGTAGACGCAAGGTGCGGCTGATTGCACTTGGAATCCAGTTGCATCTGGCTGACAGCTGGACCTATGACAGGGTCAGAAACGGGGTCGTCGCTCAGGTCCCGTGCTGTCTCAGCAAGTACGGGCTCTCATAGGCGAAGGCAATCAGGCATTCGTCGATAACAACATAGAAGAGGCTATCAGGATTATGCAAGAGGTCATCCGGATTGAGCCGAGGGCATCATCTGCCTGGTCCGTGTTGGCGCGGTGCTATACCGATATAGGCGACGACAAGAAATCACTGCAGTTCCGAATCATGGCAGCACATCTCAAACACGATCCGGAAGAATGGGATGAACTGGCGAAGCAGTCAAGGTATGCCTGGTAAATTACTCTGTTCCGTTTCAATAGCTTACCTGGGGACAGGGAGATGGGATATATGCAGCAAGCGCTATATTGCTACCGCAAGATCTACAGCCTTGATCCTGACAACGTACACGCGCTTTGGGAACGTGCATCGCTAGCGAAGGAGGTTGGGGATGTACGCGCGGTATGTCAGAAAGCGTTCACCCTCGTACAACGTTACTCATATCATACCAGGCGCGTCATTCTCTACTCGCACTGTTAAGGAGAATTCCTCATGACCTAACGGTCCTTGACGAGCTTCGCCCCTTGTTGATCGAGACCTCCGAGCTGGACCTGTGCGCTAAGCTCTTCGCCGACGCGTTCGAGCATTATCAAAGCCTCTACCCCGCCGGCTCTGCTACAGACCCAGAAACCGGCGCTCAGGTCCCAGGCGGTGGCTTTGGACTCATGGACATCCTTGTCCTCGCTGACCTGTACAATTCCTCGAATCTCAAAAGGTTTCAGGACGCGGTGCGCACGATCAAGCGTGGTTGCCGATGGCTCCAAGGTCGCGCGTTGCAAAAGTATTGGGATGCGCGTGAGGACGATAGCGAGTACGACCTGGATCCAAGAAATGCTCCTGAAAGCGTTGTTCTCGTGCCACGAGATAAGACAGTGGAGCCAGGGCACTACCCACTCGATGTGAACGCGAGACACAGGCTCGGAGTTGCACGCCTCAAAATGGGTGATCTGGATGAGGGAAAGGTCCTCATAATCTGTGTTTACCGTGACGTGATTCATGGGCTGATCCCACAAACAGATGCACGTCAGCATCGTTCTTTGCGAAGATGTCATGGACTACGCCCCATTGTTTGGGGAAATCGCGGATGTATATTTCGAGCGTGAAATGTATGCGGAGGCAAGACCAATATATGAGACGCTTGGGATGGATGCCGGGGTGAGCTCTCGCTACTGTTCGTACGAAGATGACCTGGATGTACTAAATTCGGGCTGTATAGACGAGTAGCATGTATATCCTACTGCAAACTGCGGCCTGCCGCCGTATGTTGGGGGAGCTCCCAGAAGCTGCGGAGGTCTACGAACACGGTAGGTTGTTGAGGGCTTGTCTCGAATTGAACCTTAAATGTCCACCTTCGTAGTGATATCCATGGACCCCACGCACAATGATGCGAAGCTCAAATTGGCCGAGATATACGAGATTCTCAATGAGCCTCGCAAAGCTCTTGACCTTGTTTATCAAGGTATGAACCATCGTCGTATGAGTTGATGGCGCACTCACAACATAGTTGACTAGTAATCGATTCCAGAAGACAACGATACGCGCCGCGAGGTGCGAATACCGATAGCCAAAACCAGGCGGAGGGGTCGCTCTTCGCCGAATCCGCGCCGAAGAAGCAAAAGAACAAGGGACAGCCCCGCATGTCGAATGCGCAACTTGGCGAGCTGGAGGCTCGTATGGAAAAGGAGACTACTCAGTCCTATCAGCGTCTTAAGGAGCTATGGCCGGACCTTCGTGCGCGATTGGCGAACGACAACGTACCGGGCGGCGAACAAGTGGAGAGGGAGTGGATGCACGAAGCTGCGAAGATGGTGGAGAGCTTTCGAGAGACGAGACAGCTGTTCACCTCCAACCGTGTACGCCTGCTCTTGCTGAATCTCACCGTCTGTTCACACGATTACCGTGCAGCAAGGTGGATTCCGTGGGATGTTTAAGACTAGAACTAGACCCGTTGAGGATAACGAAGATTCCATGGCATCTCGCCTGCAGTTAGACCTCGGTGAGTCGTCTATTCGAAAATGGGACGACGGGCTGACGAAGGACCTCAGCTTTCGACTCCCTGCAACGCAAGGCGAAGGGCAAGGACGGCCGTATCCATATTTTCCGGGGGTTATCATTCGACGATTGGCTGTCGGTGTTCATGCAGGCGAGACTACGAATTTACAGTTCAAAGGCAAAAGTGACGGCTGATCGTTGTCTAGTACACTTTCATTCTGGCGAAACGCAATCAATATGCTCTGGCCGACGAGATCCTCAATCACATATCGCTTTCAGTAGCCTATCAGAAACAGGATGAACAAGATACCATCCGATTATCTCTCATAAGTGATTCTAACAGCACGTTGTCGTGTGCGCATATTCATTTCAACTTATCATATGTAGCAATTGCCGTTGTCGCTCGTCAATTCCATGCAGTTGTACGGCATGCTCGGAAGCTCATTATAACCCATCAGTTCAACAACGAGCCGATTCGAATTTTGATGGCATCCCTTGGAAGCGGCATTGCTGCCACGGATGCTTTTATAGCACAAACGTTCCAAAAACACTTGCTTCGCGAACTGAAACTTCATGACACAGCCGTCCACAAGAAGGAGTTGATCCAATGGCATGGTCGTATCAAGCGCTTCGTTCAGGTATCAGAAAAACTCGGGGACGTCGACGATGAAGGAGGGGATGAGGACCCTGAAATCGAAGACGCAGACGACGATGGCGGCAAAGCCACCGGAGATGCTCCTCCTCTACCATCGAAACCAAATCCCATGGGCGTAACCGTCTACGGTCAAATCTGCTGTGCCGCCAAGAGCTATCAAAGCGCAATATGTGGGTAGTTCTAGCTGTGCCATCCCGGCTCATGAACGTTACTCAGTATCACGCAGTCTATCTACTACACGCTGTAGACTACAGTGTAGATGACCCTGTGATCTGTCTGTCCATGGTTATTGCCTCGCTTGGTCGCGCAATGCAGCGTCAAGCGGACAATCGTAACCATCTTCTCGCTCAGGTACGCCAACGTTCGACATGTTATAGCTGATATTCTGGCTTACGGTACGTAGGCTTTTGCATTCCTGTCCAAGTATCGACAACTGCGTGCGGATGAGGCTGAAGACGAAGTGGAATACAACTTCGGCAGAGCATTTCAGCAGCTAGGCAAGGATAATTGCTCTATTGTGCGAACTCTGTGCCTGATCATTTCTTAGGATTGCACTCACTCGCCGTCCGTCATTACGAGCGCGTCCTGGAGATCGTAGATCATCGAAGGCAACGCGATGATAAGGTGTGTCCGTATATGGTCTCGTAGAATGGTTTTGCTTAATCTGCGGCAGGACTACGGAGTTGCGCGTGAGGCTGCCTACAACCTCTGCATGATATACGTGACCACCGGGGCATCACCTTTGGCGAAGGGCGTCATGCAGAAGTGGTTATCAATCTGAATGCTGCCCTTCACTGTGACCACACGGCCAAATCCCTCTGTCACCTGTCAACTGTGACGTCGGCGACTTGTGGCGGGATTGACAGCACCCTTGTTCGCGTGCTCCAAACTCTTTCGTCTCTGCTCTCTTGCTGTGTTCTCCTTCTCTCAATGGCGACGCCCGAGGGTCCATCCATGTCGCACCCTGCAGATTTCCTCCCATCTACAGTACGCTAATCGCCTGATCTACATGTGAACATGGATAACACGTTTCACGCAGCCCAGGCTAGTGGCCCCTGCCCTCACTACTTCGCAAACTAGCGAAGGAACAGCCGATTTCTCGAATCTGCCCACCCCCGTCGACGAGGAAGCACCAATCCTCCATGCAAAATCAGCTTTCATCCCTCATAATCAAGAGAAAACGCGTATTGCACCCTCCGCTACCGATCTCCGTCACGATGAAATCGTCTCCGATCTTGGGTCACGAGGGCAAGAAGAAAGTGAAGTAAGGGAAAACGTACCCTGATCTCGTCGTCGTCGTCGATAACGATCTGCATAGTACGGGCTCTCTGAAAGCACTTCGCATACCCCGACGCCGCGAATTGGGTATTCGAATCTCTTGGCGTCTACCTCCGGTCTCAGGAAGCGGCGGCAAATCAAAGACGTCAGCGACACATACATCCCGTCCCCCGCGCAACTCGACGCCGAACGCGGCGATGGTTCCTTCGCAGAAAGCACGCGAGAAGGGAGACGGGGACAGCCTAATACAGTGAGTGAAACAAGCATGCATCCGCAACGCGTAGACACTTACAGATCTAATCAGAAGCGACGCAGGATCTGGGACAGACACAGCAGCGCCGATCTCACGGAAGCCCGTCACCATAATCTTTCAAAAGCCCTTCGTCGAGTCGATCCACCGATCCATGTTCGGGAAGCGATGAGATATCAGGAAGAGGAGTTACCAGAAGATGTCCTCAGGATTCTGTATCCCACCCACGAACGCTACGTCGAAGACAGGTTCATTCGCGCCTCCAACAACCCCCTTCTCGAAGTCCTGAAGACCGTCGATGGCTACTCGGCCCTCATCTACAGCTTCCGATGCGTTCATTTCCTGCTATGGTCGCTCGTCGCCGGTGGAGCGATGATCCTGTTCCCCGATCAGTTGGACCTCATCGCGTTCACGTCTGGATACGGCTTCCTCCCTACGTCGGCAGATCCGCGACAGAAACATCTCATCTTGCGGTCGTTTGCGCCGCATCTCGTGATGACGTCCTTGTTTGCGTTCATCATGTTCGCTTGGTGCATCGGGCGTGTGTTGGGTTCCCTGCTTGTCATTGCGGTAGCATCTCGCGCCCTCTGGGTCCGGGGGACCCATCAAGGCGAATCAAAGGCTCAGCGACATCGCACCGATAATCGCATTTTGTGGGACATACTGGCACGAGATCTCGAAGGACGGGAGGGCGAGCGCGAGCGCGACGCCCCAGACGTAGCTTAGCTCAAATGATCGCACTCTTTACCGAGGCAAACGTTTACTATAGTTGCTTCTGAAAACGGCGGGAACGTGGACGTCATGTACATAACGTGAGCCGCCGATGGGTGCCAAGCGCAGGACACATAATGCTACAACGCAGAACAATACACAAGTTATAAGATACAGGATACATGCTCGCAGTTGGGATAGGTTTTTATCTAAAATGAGACGCGAATCGCGGCGTCCTTCGCGTCGGGTGCCGCCACCCTATGGTGTGCGCAGGGCTGTCATATTTACTCCATCTCTTCGTCTTCGTCTTTAGCCTTTTTCGACCTCGTCTTGGCGCCGCCCTTCGCGCCCACTTTCGCTTTAGAGCCGTTGGTCTCCGCGACCTTGCGACGTTTAGTCGGTTTGAACTCCTCCTTTCAGACGGGTATACGGATCAACGACGTGCTTGTGTGCCATACGTGGAACGAGAAACGTACAGAATAGACTTTGAAGAACTCGGCCGGCTCTTGGCCGCGATGTCCAAAGATGGCATGGAAGGCAGAGGTAGAGACGTAGTTCGTCTTGCCTTCGCGCACGAGCGAATAGTACTCAAGAAGGTACTCCTTCTCGGCTGTACCAAGACACGTGCCGTCAACATCAATGCCACGATCGTCGAGCCTGTTAGCAAGCGACTATACTCACCTTCGTCGATTTCTTCGCCCTGCGGCGATTTCAAGATTTGCTTCGCCTTGCTCTCCGTTACGCTCTCGAACTCTAGCTTGGAACCGAGCGCCTCGGACGCGGCACTGGCGAGCTCGGGGCCGGCAACCATCATCGGCCCGGTGGCGACCATCATCTGACCGCGGACCTCGTCTGCGAGCCCGTGAGGCCCCACCGAGGTGAGGACGTACGCCGCGAGCTGCGCGACGTCGCCGAGGGCGACCTACGTAGTGAATGAGAATATGTATGTGACGTATACACGGGAAGAGGAACCCACGGGTGCAAATTTGTGATTCGAATCGATCGGCAGTGGAAGTTTGCCCTGCTCGCGAGCTTGCTTGGTGTACAGCAAGAGGTTCTCAGCGTAGAACCCAGCACTGCGTTGCTTCGTCAGGTATTGTTCATACTTTGCACGGCGCGCGGAGCATACCGAATGATGCACGGCGAATGCCCGGTGTCTTCGGAGGACGAGTCGGACTTGGCGGCCATCGCGAGCGTCTCTAGCTCGATGAACTCGCGCAGGCGGGGTTGTTTGTCTTTCTCGGCATAGTCACAACCGGCGCTGCTCAGGAACACGAGGTTCGTGACCGACTTGGCCTTCTTCGCGGCCTCCAGCAGGGTACGCGTAATCTTAGCCTTGTCCTAAAGGCGCTCGTTCAACAACCAGCCAAAAAAAACTCGTAGGTTCTCTCGCGTACCTTGCGAGCAGGCGGGATGAGGAGACAAGTGTCGACCTCCTCCATGTTCTTGACGAGCGCCTCTTGATCCTTCGGGTCGTACACGAGCACTTGCACGTCTTCGTACTCGTCCAGGAACGACTTGGCCTCCTCGGAGAAGACGAGCGCGGTCAGCGACGCGTACTTCTCGACGTAGTCCTCGTGCGTCGCGAGGAGGTCGACGACGAGGCGGCCGGTCTGGCCCTCGGCGGCGGTAATGAGGATCTTGCGCTCCGTCGCGGGCGACTTCGAGTCGGACTTGGCGATGCCCTGAGCGGTACGTTTGGGAGCCATGGTATCAGGACGCGCAAGTAGGGAGAGAGAAAGGTCGGGGAAATGGGGGATGGTATGAGCCGTGTGGGTTTTACATTACGGCGCTTTATAGCATCTGTGGCGAGGAACATCTTGAGTCCCGGGTGGTCGACGATGACGCTCACGAGCCAGTCATTTGGCAATATAAAGCCGCTTTGGGAGGACGCCACAGGGCCGTCGGCGGACGCGGTGTGGTATGTAATGGCGGCGTCACCTGCAGATCACCCTTGGGACTGGACCGAAGCGTTCGCGACGTCATCTTCGGGGTGGGGGTTTGAGCGCCTACTATTCCAATTATGGATAGCGCCGGGCCCGTTAAGGTAAAATGTCGGTCGCCGACGAGGGGGGTGTTCCCATGGAACGGTGCTCAGGACACGGGGTTGGGTACGTCATCGTGAATGCCAGCTTCTCGTCCCGGTCTTCGCAGCATTTGAACCATGATTAGGATTCGATCTCGAAAACTTTTGCACGCTGCCATCGTTGCAGGCAGTAGCGTCTACCCTGGTAGCGTCCGGCTCAAACGTCGCACTGGAAGCACCACGTATCCGGAGAATCCATCGCTGAGGCTGAGAGTAAGCTGGAACATCCAGTATGCGGATGGGATCATTAAGACGATCGTCGAGAAGAATGAAGCGCGTGCGCGAGGTTGCGCCGGGCACTGCCGACATAGCCGGGCGCTGGACTTTGAACATCATGGCATCCAAGGCTGCTATTTGCTACTACTATCAGGTCTCATAAATGTTCAATTCTGAGCCTTCTAGCTCTGTAGCCCGGCGACCCCGGGCCCGCCTCGCGGGTATATTACCGCGCCATAACGCCACGTGTCATCAGCTGCGACTTCCTAGTCCTGCTTCCTGTAAGCCTTGCTCCCGTATCGTCGCCGAATTACAGGTTATCAGAAGACTTTCTAGGAAGCGCGCGCTCTGTAGTTTTGTAAACGCATGCCTATCAAGCAGTGTCTTCTTACAGGCTTCCCATCTTCACTGGACCAACAACATGAGTTGAAACTCAACTTCAACTTTCGACTTTGCTGTACGATGTTTTGGCAAGGACGACCTCAAAGGCCCCGTCACTTATTCATATCATGTATGTAGGGATTTTCTCATCTCATGGATCTGCAGCGGCGAACACTGCCCCGGATCTACGTAGTGAGGTGACACCGGATCCGGGCGGTGCGTGTACAGGTTGGCACAAGTGGTGGTAAGAATTCCTCGAAGCACGAACTTACTCCTCTAGCGTCTTAGTACTCTGTGGTACATATCGGCGGTGCTGCCAGCAGCTATTTATTACGTTTTATCTTTCTATACGTTGTAGAAACTGATCTTGCCATCATGCGAGGTAGGGGCTTTCAACTGCACAGTCTGATATGACCGCTCTTCTCCCGCTGGACGCTTTCCTGACCCATTCGAAGACCGCGCCCGAAACCATACTTGGCACAACAATCGGGATGCGATTACGGCTATGAACGCCCTAGCACTAGCATTTATTGCGAAGCTATCGTTGCATCGTCCAGTCCTTCCCCTGTCACTGTTCCTCTTCTTCCTCCACGAGTCCGGCACCATATGCTACGTATCCTCCAATTACTCACGATACCGGCCCTTGTTGCAGCAAGCACGAACTGCGCCACGAACCAGACCAACTGGTATAGTCAAGAAGTCGGCGAAACACCATGCACAACCTACCAGCGACTGCGTCAAATTTGCGATCCCAGCTGTGAGTCTTCGGCCGTCATGGCATACGAACCCACTCATGCTGACCCAATGGGAATCATAGATCAAGTCGGTGACTTTGCAGGCACCATCCCGGGCGACACTTGTGATACGAGCCAGGTGCACGATTGCTGTTGCAACTCCGTCTCGTGGGCGCTCGAAATGCTCTGTTTCAAGTGAGATATTTCTCGTGCATGCACTCGAAACCAGCTTGTCAGCTAGCTTCCTGACCTCTGATCTGATTCAGCTGCCAGAAAGCGCCAGACGCATCTTCGGCTCCGAGCGGCATAGACGCCCGCGTGGACAGTTACCAGCTGTACCTCGGAAGTTGTCGCGCATCGGCGGTCAATCAGACCCTGCCTGCTAATGTTCAAGCCGCCGTGTGCAGTCAGCAGATTGACATTCCAGTTGCATTGTACAACCTCTTTTTCAGCGATGGCTCATGGCAAGTGCAGTCACATTCCTGACACTGACGTTATCCTCATCCTTTCCCAGGTTATACACGTACTCGAAAGAGTCTATACAAGCAGACTTGTCGTCCAATCCCGTTCCCAACTTCTCGCGTTGTCCAAATGTCACTTCGACGAGCGCACAAACCTCGTCTGGTAGTCCCACCTCCTCACACACCGCTTCGTCGTCCACGTCTACGTCTTCTTCCTCGTCTTTCTCCTCGAGTATATTTCTCGCATCGACGACTGTTGCCCACCAAGACTCCAAGATCAACGTAGGCGCCATCGTTGGTGGCTCGGTCGCGGTGACCATTGTTTTACTGGCTATCGTGGCGGTCGGCATCTTCTTCCTGTGCAGACGAATCAAGCGACGCAGATGCAGGGTCCTCCCGACGCAAGCTGACGAAGTCGATATACCCATCATGTCGCCGTACATGGTCTCTTCGAGCGCAGTCATGGCGGGCCCAACCCAGTTGATTACGCAGGAGTCGGAGATGCCCCCACCGTATTCCGGGCCACGGTCTGAGACAACCCTTACATCATCTTCACCGGCATCTCCGGATTCTACGCCAGCGAGTCCAAGAGTTCCGGGGAAGCGGAGAAGAAGATAGTCGGCTGCATAATCGTCTTGTGCTCTGACATGTATATGGGTCTGGCAGAACGGACCTTTTGTTGACGGCGGATCGTCAGACGTCATTTTACGGCTTAACTGATGGACCATTTTCTCATCTCATGGATCTGCAGTGGTGGACACTGCCCCGGATCTAAGTAGTAAGTTGACACCAGATCCGGGCGGTGCGTGTACAGGTTGCCACAAGTGGTAAGAATTCCCTTAAGTACGAATTTACTCCTCTAGTATCTTAGATCTTAGTACTCTGTGGCACACGTTGGCGGTGCTGCCGGCAGCTATCACTTACGTTGTATCTTTCTATACTGTACTTTTACGACCGTAAGTTCGTCCCATGTCCCCGGGGCACCCGAACCGAACTTATTGTCCCCTGTCCCCTGGCACTCCGAACCTCCGGGACACTTTATATCTGACCGTGAGAGTCTCTAATCACCTTCGTTGGGGCGCACACGAGAGTTAGCGGGAAAGAGCGCAGTTGCGTCGACGACCCGGCATGCGCGGTCGCGGCGACAACCCGGCGATATGGAATTGCGCACGTATGGCGTACAAAAGAGGGGACAGGGGATACATGATGAGGGTGGGTAACTAAAATGTATGCTATACGAGAAAACAGCCTGGTCAGGCCGAGAGGGACACGAAGACGACGAGAAGATTTTACCTGGGCGAGCAACAGTCGAGGCGAGAGGGGCAACGGCAATGTTCCCCGCTCGACCGCTGTTCTATACGCCCAGGCAATCTGAGACAGCGCAGCGGCGCCATTAAGACAGGGGGGAAGACACCCGGTCACTGACCCGCAGGCTATCGGGCCCGTCGAGGTCTCGCGCGGACGGGTGACCGGGGTGCGAGTACTGGCTGAGACATCATTCGACAGCCGCGCGCACTGGGCGTAGTACTCGGCTTGAGTATGGGGCCGGGAGGCGCAGACGTGCATGGTACACTTGTTGATTAGACTCTAGTAAATTACCTTTAAAATCGACTAATCACCTTCGTTGGGGCGCACACGAGAGTTAGCGGGAAAGAGCGCAGTTGCGTCGACGACCCGGCATGCGTGGTCGCGGCGACAACCCGGCGATCTGGAATTGCGCACGTATGGCGTATAAGTGGTATATGGGTTATTTGCGGAGCCGAGACGAGATGGAGCGATGGAGCGGCTTCGGATGAGTTTGGGTGAAGTGGTGTGAGCAAGCACGATGAGAAAGGAGTGCGCAAAGGAAGGGAAACGAAGGTTAATCTTCGTCCATGGCAGGGCGCCTGAGGATTAGCGAAGCTAGTAGTGTCGGGTTCTTGCAAATGTAGATACGAAAAGCGTCGGAGGACCAACGACCTGCGGCTTGAATGAGGTCGGGAGGTACACCTTCAGCAGCGAGAGCCGTGGCGCCTCCGGAGCGTAGCGAGTGCCCAGAAAACTGAGGTCCAAAATGACAGTGAAGGTGGGATATGAACCAACGACGAGTGGGGACGGAACCGTCGGATCTGAGCCAAAGGGCGGGGAGTAAAGGAAAAGAGGAGTCGCGGGAGGTGAGATAGGCGAGGAAAAGAGATAGTGGATCGTCGTCGCCTTGGCGCGATTCGATCATGACTTTGTTGCCTTCAAAGAAACGGTCGGCTTTGTGGGCGGGTAGCAGGAACTCGTACCCGCGCGTGTAGGTCATCACCGAGTGTCGCATGATGACCTTCCTCCAGTCCTGAAGGTATTGACGGTCAGGCCAAACGAGTTCTCCAATACGCAAGAGGCCGTTGAATGCAGTGAACAAGATGGCCAGGAAGAGTTTATTGTCATGCGAGGAGGAGAGGTGGTAGTGGTAGCGGGAGGAGCGAAGCTGTGCGCGTGTGAGGGGCAGTTTGCGGACGGTTGCGATGGCCTTGAGTTTCTTGCAACCATCAAGTGTACGGGATACCAGGGATGAACGGCGGACAGTACGGACATCAGGGAAAAAGGGTTCCAGTTTGCTGCAAATCCCCGAAAGGTAGGAGTCAACGGATTTAGGGCGAATGTGATGGCACATGAATACCACATAAAAACTGAACGTGTCGGGTGTGGGCTGGATAGCAAAGTTGTGTATGCAGCAGAAGTATAAGTAAGAGTGGAGGGCGCTAGAATAACTCGCGCGTGTAGATGATTCAAGTGCGAAGCCGAGTGCGATGGAACGTTCATGCGCTAGGCGTTCCCGTGTCCAAGGGGCCCGAGTGGGCTGCCTGGACGATGTTCCTGTAACGTTCATTTTTTCATTGCCCCCAATGCGGACTGAGGGGGTTGAAACAAGGAAATGGAGGCGGTGGGAGCCAGTTGGTATACGAGGTCGTTATCGAACCGAGACAGTGCATCGGCCATGACATTGTCTTTGCCTGGGATGTGAAAAACCCGTATTTCGATGGAATGGAGCAAGAGGATGTCGACGGCAGTCTTCAAGAGCTCATTATACTGTGGTAGGGCCTTCAACGAGTTGAACATGTCGACGGTGTTCGTGTTATCGGAGTAAACTATAAGACACCGGGGGATTGGAAGCGTTGAGCATGCCCAGTCTAATGCTGAGACGACAGCGAGGGCCTCCCAGTAAAAGATTGCGTCGTTGGGTGCACGCCCTGGAAGTGGGGATTGATAACCGGATAGGAACTTTGGCGACCAGAAACCCATTCCACTCATCGACGCGTCAGAGAAAAGGATCAGATCTGCATCCTTCACTGACCACTCGATAGATTCAAACAGGTAGACACCATCTAGGCGCTCCATGTGATCTGCAATCCATAGGAGATCTCGCGAAAGAGCCACACTCATGGATACCAGTTGGTGGGGCTCGGTTTTTCCTCTAGTTTTTGCATACAAGAGAGAGAGTCCCGGGCGAAGAAGCGGGAAGACATTCAAAGCCCAGTTAATCCAGCCGCCAAGTCTCCAGTACTCCTTTAGAGGATATCGGCGTCGTTTATGAAGCGGGAGTGTAGCAAACTCGCGGATGTGGGCTAAGAGCTCGTTACGTTTATCGGGACTGAGGCTAATGCTCATCTGATTGGCGTTGACCTCAAACCCAATAATAGGGAGCGGGGAGCCAAAAACCTGCTTGCGATCTTCGTGGGGGATGCAGAGGTCGTCCCAGAGTTCCAGGAGTTGCTTCTGCTTCCGCGGAAGCAAGCGGTGATAGGGAGCATAAAATTCGAGGTGATCTGCTTTGTCGTAGCTGAAGGTATCATCAACGTATCCAAGGAGATCGTCGATATGGCGCACGTTGATAGCAATCCACAGCACTAAGCTCATGAACGCTATGAACAAGTCACCAGCCTTCCGGTTTCCGAAGTGATTGCACCTGTCGACATGTTGCTGGCCATCAATTGTAACGATCTGGTGTATTTGCCAAAGTGGATGCATAGGGAGTTGTCGGTATGCGCTTGACACGTCTGACTTGAATAGTACTAGCTTGCGGTCAGGCGGAAGGTTTGCACTGCGCCGGGCATGTCGCAGTATTGCACCCAGGTCTATAACATTATCCATAGGGATCGAAGGGCGAACCCTTGGTATCATCGCGTTCACGGAAAACTCTCCCGCACTGTCGTCGTTGACCAGTCGGAAGGAGTTCTTACCCTTCGGGACAACCCCAATTGGCATGCTGTACATGCCGTCCATCAGCTCGGTGCCAAAAGCCATAGACCAGCGTCCACTCTCCACTTCCTTGTCGCGATATTCAGCTAGGAATTGAACGTGTCGGGGATCACGTAGTGGTCGGTGTGCATTGTCCCACGTTGATGGTAGGGAGGTGTCATTTGTGTTGGCCGCAGGCCAGAAACCGTTACGGAAACCGTGTACGACTGACTCGACGAAGGGTTGATTCGGATGGGTTGCAAGCAGTTCTTCAAACAGGTCAACATTGACAGGAGTTACAATGCGGAAGAGGTATGCATGGCTGGCGATCGTTCTTAGTGCCCACTCATTTGTGAGCTCATTCTCCGGTACTCCTGACAGGGGAGGTGCCGTTTCAGTTGCGGCGACGGACGTAACCCGACCACCAGCTACCACATTGTCTGTGTCATCCCACACGAACCCCCTCTTGTATTTGGGCTGCCATGCCCACAGGCCTGTGTCACTCAAACGTTCACGAGCGAGCTGTACCCGAGCAGTCGTGCGACGTGTGGGCTGGAGATCCACAGCGACGGCAGATATGGAGGTATCGGCATGCTCCCGCATCGGAGGAGCATTTGCCGTTGTTCCAGCGGATGCACGGTTCCCACCCACGTCGACTACTTGCGGGCTGCTTGTGTCAGAGTACGCGCTGGAGCTCCTAGGAGCGGCGCGGATCCCCCGGGACGGCGGTGGAGACGCTGTCGCACAAGGCAGGGAGGCAACTGAGTATATATACAAGGATACGAGGGGAAATACACATACCTGTCGCACAAGGCAGGGAGGCAACTGAGAGAACAAGTCTGGGTTGCTCCCTGGTGCGACAGGCGACTATATAGTAGATGAGTAATCCATCAACGCAACGAAAGATGGTCCAATGAGAGAAGGGGAGGGTCCTCAGGCGCCCGACACGTGACCGGTGGACCGGCCTAGGAAGGCCGGTCGAGTGCGGAGGCCCTAGGAGCGCCGAGCGACGGAACAAAATAGGGGAGATGCCAAAAGGAGGGCGCAGGAAGCCTAGGAGGGCGCGGGAGAGCCCGACCGAATAGGGAGACGGAAGTATTAGGGGAAATGAACGAAATGGGACAGAAGCGGAAGCAGAAAAAGAGAACAATGAGACATGAGGCGAGTGTGGGAGCCGTGCCCTGACATCACCCCCCCTTCAAGACCCGGCGCCTCGACGGGTCGGAATTCCCACCCCAACCGAGTTCCCCCAGCACCTACCATGTCTAAGAGAACTTGATCTCAGGCCCGCCCCGTCCCCATCGAACGCGGATCGTCCGAGGAGAGGAGCAGCGACGGCAGCGAGGAGGATCCGATCGCCGCGCTGGAGGCGGCGCAGGCGACTCTGAAGGCGGCGCAGGCAAAGGCAGACGCGGCGACAGCGAAAGCGGAGGCGAAGGCGGCGGAGGCGAAGGCGAAGGAGGCGGAAGCGAAGG